CTCTGAATACTTCTGCTGGAGTGTGAGCAAAACATGATAAATTGTCAGGAAGTCAAGGCCCTAGTCCTAGATTTAGATATTCTGTTTTAGACCAGTCTCCCAAGGGAAACACTTGAGCATCTAAGAAATTAGCATCACTGACATTTTCACCCCAAACTGCCGTGAACTCTGCAAATTTAAAGACATAATCCAGGGATGAATTGAAATCTTTGTTTTGAAGTTAACAGAAAAGAGTTTTCTGAACTCTGGTGAAAATTGCTTTGAAATGAAAAAATCGCAGCACTAAAATATATCATTTCTTCACAGCCCACTTGTATCTAAGTTAATTTGTAAAGAAAGCAGGAGAGTAAATGGTGGATTATCTCTGTTCTAAATAGAACATATTTCAGGATTCAGATAAACTTGGTCTGCCCTAAAGGAGACAGAGATTTTGCCAACCAAAATGACATATTGAAAAAAGTGGCAAGAATAAGAGAGAGGAAAAATAAATGTGAATTATCTGAACTGAATGTTTATTATTTTTTCCTACTAAAGAATAAAGTTTGTAGGAAATAAACTGATGAAATAACCTATCAAACTGTCCCAAGAAGATAAAGGGCTTGTTTTCCAAAATAAACTAAAATAAAATTCAAAGACCTACAGTAAGGTTTTGTACTGTGTATTTATAGTAATATTTATTAGTGCAGCAAACTCCAGTAAATTATAGTTTCCAATCTGGTTTTTCAGACTCTCTGAAGAAAAGAGAAGATACTTATGGTTTTATCGCTCCTGCTGCAATAGTGAAAACTGCTCCCTTCCTTTGGTCCTGGGTAGTGCCCCTGGTTGGGATGAAAGGACTGTTTCAGAAATGCATATGATTTTGAGAAAATGGACATTTTCTGATCCTTTGGAAGCACTTGGGCTTTTAACTTCCAGGTAAGAATTGCATAACAAGCATGGTATTTCTGATTGAGAAGAACTTGTTTGAAGAGAAAAAATATAGGACTATATAATTAATTCAATAGCTATTCTGTTTGTTCTCAATTTCAATAGCTGTGGATATTAATTTTAGATAAATGTAAGCTATGAATATAAATTTTAAACAAATCTAAGCTCTAATCGTGTCTCTTGTACTAAACGTGTAGTATAATTCATGGCCATAGTTTCTTAAGTGAAGAGCCGAGTTCTTTCAGAAATAACACAATAGATAAATAAATAGGGAAAAATAAAAATTCCTACTTCTCTGAAAATGAAAAAGCTCTTAAAAATTGGGACCATTTCTTTTACTATTGAAATACGCAAAGTTTAGCAAAATGCCCTGCTTCTAGTAGATGTACAATTAATATGATAATGACGATGATAGGAATAAAAGAAAAGAATATATCCCTTATGTGTTCTCCAGATCCTCCCTCAGAATAAAATGCACGGGGCGGCAGGAGAGGGGCTAATGATGTCTTCTTGTTAAGGACAAGCATGTAGGAGTAACTGGTAGCTGGCTGTGGTTGAGAAGCAGCAGCTCTTCCTTGGCTTCCCTTTCATATTCAAAGCCAAGAAAAGGTATGGTAAGTCTGTCTTGATAGCGGCAGCTCACTGACATCATGAATAAAGTCTGTAATCTCTAGAGCCAGGCAAAAATTGTGAAACTGAGCTCTGTTCTGAATCTACTCTCAAGGACCTGAGGGAAGGAGAAAGTTGGGAAAAGTAGTGACACAAAGAACTTCAAACTGACTTGTTTGGGTTTATTTACAAATTTGTGTCCTTCATAAAACTTCTGGGGTTGATAAGAGGGAGAGAGGGTTTTTTTTTTTTTT